ATACAAACTTCATCTGGTGGCTCATGCCTATCATCTCAGCACTTTTAGAAGCTGAAGTGTACAGATCACCTGAGCCCAGGAGTTCGAGACCAGCCTGGGCAGCATGGTGAAACTCCCATCTCTGCAAAAAAATACAAACAGCCAGATGTGGGCTGGGCATGGTGGGATTACACCTGTAATCCTAGAACTTTGGGAGGCAGAAGCAGGTGGATCATCTAAGGTCAGGCATTTAAGACCAGCCTGGCCAATATAGTGAAACTCCATCTCTACTAAAACTACAAAAAATTAGCTGGGTGTGGTGGCAGGCACCTGTAGTCTGAGCTACTCGGGAGTCTGAGGCTACTCGGGAGTCTGAGGCAGGAGAATCACTTGAACCCAGGAGGTGGAGGTTGCAGTGAGTTGAGATTGTGCCATTGCACTCCAGCCTGGGCATAAAGAGTGAAACTCCGTCTAAAGAAAAGGAAAAAAAAAAAAAAAACCAGCCAGGTGTGATGGTGTGCACCTGTAGTCCCAGCTACTCAGGAGTCTGAGGTGGGAGGATTGTTTGACCACGGAAGGTGGATGCCACTGCACTCCAGCCTGAGCAACAGAGTGGGACCCTGTATCAAACAAATGTTAGTCTTTTCCACACAAATTTCTATACTTCATGACTTTGCTCCCTCTTAAATGAAAACTCTTTGAAAAAATTGTTTCTTTTTCTTTTCTTTTTTTTGAGATGGAGTCTTGCTCTGTCACTGAGGCTGGAATGCAGTGGCGTGATCTCGGCTCACTGCAACCTCTGCTTCCTGGGTTCCAGTGATTCTCCTGCCTCAGACTCCCAAGTAGCTGGGAACACAGGTGTGTGTCACCATGCCATGCTAATATTTGTACTTTTAGTAAAGATGGGGTTTCGCCTTGTTGGCCAGGCTGTTCTTGAACTCCTGACCTTAGGTGATCCACCCAGCTTGGCCTCCCAAAATTCTGGGATTACAGGCGTGAGCCACCACACACAGCCTGTTTTCTGTTTTTTACTACTCATCCCCGGCTGGGCACAGTGGCTCAAGCCTGTAATCCTAGCACTTTGGGAGGCCGAGGCGGGTGGATCATGAGGTCAAGAGATCGAGACCATCCTGGCCAACATGGTGAAACCCCATCTACTAAAAATACAAAAATTAGCTGGGCGTGGTGGCGTGTGCCTGTAGTCCCAGCTACTCAGGAGGCTGAGGGAGGAGAATTGCTTGAACCCGGGAGGCTGAGGTTGCAGTAAGCCGAGATTGTGCCACTGCACTCCAGCCTGGCGCCTGGTGACAAAGTGAGACTCTGTCTCAAAAAAAAAAAAAAAAAAGATATCCTTACTACTCATCATTTCCAGTTCCTTTTCTCTAATTGTTAAACCTGCTTCAATCTGGCTTTTGCCTCACAACTGCAAAGAAAGTGGTTTTATCAAGGTCACTAGTGACTTATACTTCAGTGGTCAGTTCTCAATACTTATATTTCTTTTCTCCTTTCTTTCTTTCTTTCTTTTTTTTTTTTGAGGCAGAGTCTCACTTTGTCTCCCAGCCTGGAGTGCAGTGGCACGATCTCAGCTCACTGTAACCCAGGCCTCCTGGGTTCAAGCGATCTTTGTGTCTCAGACTCCCAAGTAGCTGTGACTACAGGCACACACTACTACACCCAGCTAATTTGTTTTTTGTTTTAGAAACAGTTTTGCCAAGTTGACCAGGCTGGTCTGGAACTTCTGGCATCAAGTGATCTGCCCACTTCAGCCTCCCAAAATGCTGAGATTACAGGAGTAAGCCACTGTACCCAGCCTTGTCTCATGACTTTTAAACACCATTTATATGCTGATGACTCAAATTCATTTCTCAGGCTGGGTACAGTGGTTCATGCCTGTAATCCCAGCACTTTGGGAGGCCGAGGCAGGCGGACCACAAGGTCCAGAGATCAAGACCATCCTGGCCAACATAGTGAAACCCCGTCACTACTAAAAATATAAAAATTAGCTGGGCATGGTGGCGTGTGCCCGTAGTCCCAGCTACTTGGGAGGCTGAGGCAGGAGATTTGCTTGAATCTGGGAGGTGGACGTTGCAGTGAGCCCAGATTGGCAGCCTGGCAACAGAGCAAGACTGTGTCTCAAAAAAATTTATATCTTCAAGTCAGACTTTTTCTAAACTTTAGACTAGTTTATGCAACATTTCTATGTGGTTGCTAATAGGTGCCTCAAACATCATGTACAAAACTGAACTTCTCGTCTTCCCTAGTACCTCCTCTCAGCATTTTCCAGCTCAGTTGGTGACAGTAGTATCCTTCTAGTTATTCAGGCTTAAAGCCCAGGAGTCCTCCTAAATTCCTCTTTTTTTCCCCCCTACTGTTTAGATTCCATCTGTTGAGCAGTTATGCTGACTTTCAACATTATCCCAAATCCACCCCTTCTCACCATCTCCATTGCGGTCATACTGCTTTAGGTCACCTTCATCACTGTCCTGGATAACTGTGAGGGCCTCCTTACTTGTTTCCCTTCTTACAGTCTGTATATAAATAACAATGATAGGATTCTGTAAATATGTTATTCTCACACCCCATCCTCCAGGGCCCCCCAGGTAAATTGGCTCTAGCATTCTCTGATTACATGACCTTCCTTCTGTTTCTCAGACATACCAGGTTTACACATGCCCAGATCCTTTGGGGAAGTTATACCAAAAATCGATTGATACTCAATTGACATTATCTTAAATTTGTTATTTTTAGAAAAATGGACATCTTTCTGATTGAAAACTTTTCCCAACTAGAGTTAGGACTCTTTTTATTGACTTCTTCCTTTATGATCCTTAGATATTTTAGAGTTTTATTTATGCAAGGTCTATTGCTTAATTCACATATATTTTATTGCCTTTTTTCTTTTCTTTTTTTTTTTTTTTTGAGACAGAGTCTGACTCTGTTACCCAGGCTGACGTGCAGTGGTACGGTCTCGGCTCACTGCAGCCTCCGCCTTCCAGGTTCAGGTGATTCTCCTGCCTCAGCCTCCTGAGTAACTGGGATTACAGGTGCCTGCTACCACACCCGGCTAAATTTTGTATTTTTAGTAGAGACAGGGGTCTTACCATATTGGCCAGGCTAGTCTCAAAGTCCTGGCCTCAGGTGATCTGCCTGCCTTTGCCTCCCAAACTTCTGGGATTACAGGCATGAGCCACTGTGCCCGGCCCTTATTCCTATTTTGAATGGCATCATTTCATTCATTCATTCATTTATTCAGATGGAGTCTCTCTCTGTCACCCAGGCTGGAATGCCCAGCCTTTATTACTATTTTGAATGGGATCCTTTTCATTTGTTTATTTATTTATTTATTGAGACGGAGTCTCTGTTACCCAGCTGGAGTGCAGTGGCACAATCTAGGCTCATTGCAACCTCTGCCTCCTGGGTTCAAGTGATTCTTTTGCCTTAGCTTCCTGGGTAGCTGGGATTACAGGCACATGCCACCACACCCAGCTAATTTTTATATTTTGAGTAGAGACAGGGTTTTACCATGTTGGTCAGGCTAGTCTCGAACTCCTGACCTTGTGATCCACCTGCCTCAGCCTCTCAAAGTGCTGGGATTACAGGCGTGAGCCACTGTGCCTGGCCTTTTCCATTATTTTTTAACTAGTTAATCCTGGTATGTAAGAAAGCTGTTTGGCTCATGTATTTACTTTGTACGTGTTTCTCTTTGGAATTGTTAAAGCTGAACTCTCCTTCCAGCTTTAATTATTGTTTGGTTGATGCTCTTGTGTGTCTGACTCCTCTTGGCCCTGAACAAGCGGGATTCCTGTATAGATCCTGCATGGAGCTGTTTCAGATCTTTCCTGGGATCACCCCTGCCTACCCCCAGATTCTTGGCTCTCAGGGGCAGGGTAGGATCCTCCCCTTGGCCCTCCTCCAGCTTTGCATAGGATTCCTGTCTGTATGGGACCCCTGTTTGGGCACTTAGAGCTCTGAGTGAACTTTTCTGTTCACCTGTTCTTTTTATTTTTTTTTGTGGGGGGAACAGAGTTTCGCTCTTGTTACCCAGGCTGGAGTGCAATGGCACGATCTTGGCTCACTGCAACCTCTGCCTCCTGGGTTCAAGCAATTCTCCTGCCTCAGCCTCCCAAGTAGCTGGGACTACAGGCGTGCACCACGACACCTAGCTAATTTTTGTATTTTTAGTAGAGACGGGGTTTCACCTTGTTGACCAGGATGGTCTCGATCTATTGACCTCGTGATCTACCTGCCTCAGCCTCCCAAAGTGCTGGGATTATAGGTGTGAGCCACCACGCCCGGCCCATGTTCACCTTTTCTTAACCAAGACTCATGACCAGGTAGGCCTGGAATGCAATTGGTCTTCAAGGGATATTTGTTGAAGGAATAAATGAATGACTAAAGTATTTTTCACTTCCCTTTTACCCCTACCAAATAGCTTTATTGTGTTTGACAGATTTCCTCAACTTATTTTTTATTTTATTTTATTTTTAATTTTGAGACAGAGTGTCACTCTGTTGCTCAGGCTGGAGTGCAGTGGTGCAGTGTTGGCTCACTGCAACCTCTGCCTCCCAAGTTCAGGCGATTCTCCTGCCTCAGCTTCCTGAGCAGCTGGGACTACAGGCACCCACCACCATGCCAAGATAATTTTTGTGTTTTTGGTAGAGAAGGGTTTTCACCATGTTAGCCAGGCTGGTTTTGAATTCCTGACCTCAGGTGATCCACCTGTCTGGGCCTCCCAAAGTGTTGGGATTATAGGCATAAGCTGCCACACCTGGCCTCCTCAACTTATTTTTCAAGTTTTCTGTTGGTTTTATTTCTAGTCAACGTGTGAATATTTTCTGATATTTTCACCTACCCTTATTTCATAGTGCCTGCCCCAAGATCACACATTCCAGATACTTATTAATTTGACAGTGAAGTTTTTCATTGCTCTAACACGTAATGGCCACATGTACTTTGTAGTCTTCTGTAACCTGCTGGGTCTGTTGTTTTTTCTGACTTGATGATCCTCTCCTCCCTCCCAGATTCAGGCTTCTTCAGGGGAAACCAAGTATACTGGTACCTTGGACTGTGCAAAGAAGCTGTACCAGGAGTTTGGGATTCGAGGCATCTACAAAGGGACTGTGCTTACCCTTATGCGAGGTAACCTTTGAGGCCTCCACTTGAGGTTACCTGGGGAGGTTACCTGAGGTGGGTCTGCTACAGAGGGTCTTGCCCAGATTGCCAGATTAGCCTCGGTACCATGCATGTCACATCTCTGACAATACTGGCAGTGAGCATCCTGGTTTTAGGCAGTCTCGCTCTGGTCAGCATGGACAGAGATTAGGATGAGTGGACCTTCCATCCTTCCCAAGTGTCTGCAGGGGTAGAAGGCATGGCACTCACAGTTGGAGGGGAGTGGCAGGTAGGTAGAAATCATCGCTGGAGGGAGGAGTGGGAAGAAAGAGTGACTTGGGGACAGAGGGGATCTCTCTGGTTTTGAGGGATATGTCCTGTTTTAGTGGCAGTAGGAAAGGCAGAGACAGTCTCCCTCTTGTCCTGAGGTGGCAGCTTAGAGGAAGGTCAGATACACTAACTGTGGTTATAACTGTGAGAGAGAACCTTATTTATTTATTTACTTGTTTTTATTTTACTTTTTGAGACAGATTCTCCCTCTGTCGCCCAGGCTAGAGTCAATGGCAAAATCTCAGCTCACTGCAACCTCTGCCTCCTGGGTTCAAGCAATTCTTCTGCCTCAGCCTCCCGAGTAGCTGAGACTACAGGTGCACGCCACCACACCTGTCTATTTTTTTTTTTTTTTTGAGACAGAGTCTCACTCTGTCACCCAGGCTGGAGTGCAGTGGTGTGATCTCAGCTCACTGCAACCTCCGCCTCCCAGGTTCAAGCAATTCTCCTGTCTCAGCTTTCCAAGTAGCTGGGACTACAGGCATGTGCCACCACACCCAGCTAATTTTTTTATATTTTTAGTAGAGATGAGGTTTTACCATATTGACTAGGCTGGTCTCGAACTCCTGACCTCAGGTGATCTGCACACCTTGGCATCCCAAAGTGCTGGGATAACAGGTGTGAGCCACCACGCCTGGCCTATTTTATTTTTTGAGATGAAGTTTCATTCTTGTTGCCCAGGCTGGAGTGCAATGGTGTGATCTCTGCTCAACGCAACCTCTGCCTTCCAAGTTCAAGCAATTTTTCTGCATCAGCCTCCCAAGTAGCTGGGATTACAGGCATATACCACCATGCCCAGCTAGTTTTTTACATTTTTAGTAAAGACAGGGCTTTACCATATTGGCCAGGGTGGTCTCAAACTCCTGACTTTAGGTGATCCACCCACCTCAACCTCCTGAAGTGCTGGAATTACATGTGTGAGCCATTGTGCCCAGCCTCATTATTATTATTATTTGAGACTATCTTGCTCTGTCACCCAGGCTAGAGTGCAGTGGCATGATCTTGGCTCACTGCAACCTCTACTTCCTGTATTCAAGTGACTCTCCTGCCTCAGCCTCTTGAGTAGCTGGGGTTACAGGTGCATACCACCATGCCTGGCTAATTTTTGTGCTTTTAGTAGAGATGAGGTTTCACCATGTTGGCCAGGCTGTTCTCGAACTTCTGACCTCAGGTGATCCACCCGCCTTGGCCTCCCAAAGTGTTGGGATTACAGGCATAAGCCACCAAGCCCAGCCAAGAGAACTTTATTGACATTATATCGTGTGTGTGTGTGTTTTTTTTCTTTTTACTGCATAGAGAACAAATCATGTGTGTTTATACTCACTCACACCAGTGCTTGGTAGCTCATAGTTGCAAAGTTATTATTGCAAATAGGATGTGGCTGCTGAGGAACTTCTCAGGAATCCCTGAAGGGTCTAGTGCCAAGCTTGGCTTTTCTGCATTCAAGAAATCTGTGGGTGCCAGGTGTGGTGGCTCACACTTGTAATCCCAGCACTTTGGGAGGCTGAGGTGAGAGGATCACTTAATCCCAGGAGTTTGAGACCAGCCTGGGCAAAATAATGATACCCTGTCTCTATTAAACAGAATAATCCTATTTTTAAAAGAAAAAACATCTGCAGGGATTTTTTTTCTTTTTTTTGAGACAGAGTCTTGCTTTGTTGCCCAGGCAAGAGTGCAGTAGTGCAGTCTTGGCTCACTGCAACCTCCACAGTGATGGGTTCAAGCGATTCTTGTGCTTCAGCATCCTGAGTAGCTGGGATTACAGGCATGTGCCACCAGGCTTGGCTAATTTTTGTATTTTTAGTACAGACGTTGCTTTTTCCATAATGGCCAGGCTGGTCTCAAATTCCTGGCCTCAGATGATCTGCCTGCCTCGGCTTCCCAAAGTGTTGGAATTACAGGCATGAGCCAACACGTCTGGCATTGTTTTTCTTTCTGATACTTTTTTAGTCACATAAATTACTACCATAGGCTAATGTTTAAAAAGCAAATAAATTGAACCAAATGTGGTGACCCAATTAAAAAACTATTTTATTTATAATTCAGACTGGCCATGGACCTCCTGGCCTTAAGCAGTCCTCCTGCCTCAGCCTCCTAAAGTGCTGAGATTACCGGTGTGAGCCACCATGCTTGGCAAAGAGTTTATGTACTTTAATTCACTTATTTCTTGCCACTAACAGATGTCCCAGCTAGTGGAATGTATTTCATGACATATGAATGGCTGAAAAATATCTTCACTCCAGAGGGAAAGAGGTGAGGAGAACAGAACTTGGAAGCCACTTTCCCCAGTCATGGATGCGTTGCCCTCTCCCGTGGGTGAGTCTGAAAGCAGAAGTAGGACATGTTCTTGGCTTCATGTCTGCTTTCCTCTTGTGGCTGCTGAGGTCCAGCTAGCTCTTCTTACTCTGTGCCTCAGCCAGTGGAGCAAATATTTGAAACAGGTGCATGAAACCTCCTCCAAGGAGTGCCAGCAGCACTGGCCTTGTACCTCTTTTCCGTCATTCAGTTTCTGCCTCTCTGTAACTGCCATGTCTGCCACAGGAAGGATAGTCTGAGTGCCACTCTTACAGCCTTTGTCTAACTGGGGCTGTGGTTGGTGTTATACAGGGTCAGTGAGCTCAGTGCCCCTCGGATCTTGGTGGCTGGGGGCATTGCAGGGATCTTCAACTGGGCTGTGGCAATCCCCCCAGATGTGCTCAAGTCTCGATTCCAGACTGGTGAGTGGAAGGTAGTGGGGTGAATGGGGGCAGAGTGGGTCCTAGCACTGGCTAATCCTAGGGTACAAAGTTCATAAGGCCCTAGGAAACTCAATCTCCATGGCAGTACCCAGCTCCTGCCTGACCAACATTCTACCTCACAGTCATTTGCATTCTAGGAGCCCTAGACTAATTTTCATGACAGCCTAAACACAAGGTAAGTGTGATAAGATGTGAAGTCCACTCTCCCTGCCCCACATGAACAGGAGGGCTGTTTCATTCTTCTTCCCTCTTTTCTACTCCCTTGGCACAAGTAATTCAGGCCCTTGTGCATTTGTCCCAAGGTGAACTGTTGTCTATGGACAGGTCCAGATGACCTGCAAGATGTCCTTTCCCCTGTGCTAGTCCTGACCCTTCAGGAAGACTTAACTACTAGTTTCTCCTCATGTGGCTTGCCATGGTCAAATCAGGAAACTTCCTGAAGACTTGGAAATTGGGTTCTGCCCCACAGCACCTCCTGGGAAATATCCTAATGGTTTCAGAGATGTGCTGCGGGAGCTGATCCGGGATGAAGGAATCACATCCTTGTACAAAGGGTTCAATGCAGTGATGATCCGAGCCTTCCCAGCCAATGCGGTGAGTAGCTGGTAGGGCTGTGCTTTCCCTTGGGGGCTCAGAGCAGGGTGCATGTGGGCTGACTTTTGCTTGTTCCTGGGATAGGACTAGGGACTCGGTTTTCCTAAAGCCCTATCTTTAGCCAGAACATTCCTTATTTACTCCCTTTCCTGAAGCTGTCAGGAGGATTTGCCTTTGGGGATTTCTGAGGTGGGGCTTTGATTTCCTGACCTGGCCATTAGAAGCGGGCAGTTGTGAGGCCAGGCTTGGTGGCTCACACCTGTAATCCCAGCACTTTGGGAGGCTGAGACGGGTGGATCATCTGAGGTCAGGAGTTCAACACCAGCCTGGCCAACATGGGGAAACCTGTCTCTACTAAAAGTACAAAAATTAGCTGGGTGGGGTGGTGGGCTCCTGTAATTCCAGCTGCTCAGGAGGCTGAGTTAGGAGAATTCTTTGAACCCAGGAGGTGGAAGTTGCAGTGAGCCGAGATTCTGCCATGGGACACCAACCTTGGTGACAAGAGCAAAACTCTGTCTCAAAAAAAGAAGAAAAAAAAAAAAGAAGTGGGGAGTTGTGGGATATACATTTTGTTCTCTTAGGAATGATAGAACAAAGCTTGCATCCTTGACGTGGCATGGATGTGGGGTTAGGGAAGAGCTCTGGTCCTGATAGGGCCAGCAAAGCATAGTGCTTTGAATAGCCTATGAATAGTCATTCCTGCTGGCTTTTTTCTTCCTCCCAACCCTTTCTCAGGCCTGTTTCCTTGGCTTTGAAGTTGCTATGAAGTTCCTCAATTGGGCCATCCCCAACTTGTGAGACTGAAGGCTGCTCAAGACTTCTGAAGCTGGAAGCTGTCGCTGAGGAGGAGGAGTAGTGGGCAGAACTAACCAGTCTTGAAGGGCAAGGGGAGGGGGATGGTGGGATTAGAGCCCTGTGCTTGGACTTGGTGAGACCATTGCCTTAATGACGTCCTGTACTTTGTATAACTTAGTGTGCCATTTTGAAACTTGAATGCATTCTTGTCAATTTAAGGGATCTTAAGAGGATTTGGAGATGGAACGGGTAGCTTCTAGACCAGATACTACCTGTGGCAAGAATGGTGGCTACCAGTTTTCTGCTGGTCCTACCATACCCAAAGTATTCCTCATTAAGAAGATAATCTCAGGTTCTTACTGCAGGCACTGTGCATGTTTTCAACCAGCTCACCAGCTGAGATCTTCTTCAGTCCCTAGCCAGGAACACTCACTTGATTTCCAGGGTGCCATCTAATCCTGGGCTACACATGTGGATATGGACTTGAGGCCCACATCTGTGTCCAAGTGGACTGGGCATATATGGCTAGGAGGAGATAGACTGTTAACTGTTGGATTTTGATTTTTTTTTTTTAACGCATGCAAGTAATCAAAAGTAAAACTAGAGTAGTGTAATTTTCCCTCCTAAACAGTGATGACAGTCCCAGTCTGCTGGGATAAGTGAGAAAGCGCAGGGTGTAGGAAGGCTCTTTTTGTACACTCTTTTCTCATGAGAGCTCCCTATTTTAATGAGAAACAATAAATGTTGTTTCTAATTTTTGCATTGTGTTATATTTTCTTCTTTTGATTCTAGGACAGTTCAGTAGGCAGCCTGTGGCTTGGTGGAGGCTTTCACGGATCCAGTATCCTTCCCTGGAGCCTTAGGCTGGGGATCCAACAGGAAGAGGTGGAGGAGGAGGAAGTTTTGGCTGGCTCTGCCTTCTCTGGCTGCCCAGCTCCAGCTGCTCTAGGGAGGGTGGGTGGGGTGGTGTGACTTGATTGGTGATTGTTCACACAGGCCTCAGTGCAAACCTGGCATGCAGGCCCCAGCAAGGTCCAACCTGCAATCCATCCCTTTATTTATTCCCCTCTCTGCCCTGAGCTCCATGAGTGTCTGAGCTAACAGATGGAGAGTCAATTGTTCTATTTTCTTTCTTTCTTTTTTTTTTTTTAAGTCAATTGTTCTAAAAGGACAAAAGCAATCCTGGGTTTTCATGAGTTACTGTGTGATCTGAGGTAGCTAGCTTGACTTTACTAATCAGGTAAATGATGATATCCAGTTGTGTCCAGAAAAGGTGAGGGAGTTGGACAGTCAAAAGCTAGGCTGTTACTTTCTGGTTGAGGAGAGCTTGTTGAAGCTACTGGAGCTGGGCTTTTTGGTTGAGGAGAGCTTGCTGAAGCTACTGGAGCTAGGATTTTCTGATATTGTCCCATCTGGTGGTCACAGTTACAGTTCCACTGGCACTTCATGTCTCACTGCAGCTGCACAGAGACCCTTGGACTTTGGCTTTAGAACCATCACTCTGTCTCTAGTTTTGAACTGTTAAAAAAAAAAAAAAAAAGCTGGGCACAGTGGATCATGCCACACTTGTAATCCCAACACTTTGGGAAGCCAAGGAAGGAGGATCACTTGAGTCCAGGAGTTCAAGATCAGCCTGGGCAACATAGTAAGACTCTGTCTCTATGCAAAATTTTTAATTTTTAAAAGTTAAAAGAATGAAGCCAGGTGCAGTGTTTCATACCTGTAATTCCAGCACTTTGGGAGGCTGAGGTGGGCAGATCACCAGGTCAGGAGTTCGAGACTAGTCTAGCCAACATAGTGAAACCTCATCTCTACTAAAAATACAAAAAATTAGCCTATTGTGGTGGTGTGCACCTGTAATCCCAGCTACTTGGGAGGCTGAGGCAGGAGAATCACGTGAACCCGGGAGTTGGAGATTGCAATAAGCCGGGATCGTGCCATTGCACTCCAGCCCGGGTGAAAGTGCAAGACTCTATCTCAAAAAATAAAAAGTAAAATTAGCCAGACATGGTAGTGTGCGCCTGTAGTCTCAGCTACTCAGGACACTGAGGTAGGAGGATTGCTTGAGCCCAGGAAGTTGAGGCCACAGTGAGCCGAGTGTTCATCACTGCACCCCAGCTTGGGCAACAGAGTAAGACCTGGTAAGAAGGGTAGGTACACACCCCTATCTGGGAGTTGGGGCTGTGATCAACCCAGCAGGAAGCTGAAGACTTGGGACTTTAAAGAAGGAGGCTTTATTGCTTGGAATATATTTCCAAATGACTAGACAGGAATTATGGCCAAGTAGAAAATGACATTTTTGGTCAGGCACAGTGCCTCATGCCTGTAATCCCAGCACTTTGGGAGGCCGAGGCAGGTGGATCATCAGGTCAAGAGATCGAGACCATCCTGGCCATCATGGTGCAACTGTCTCTACTAAAAAAAAATACAGCTGGGCGCGGTGGCTCACACCTGTAATCCCAGCACTTTGTGAGGCTGAGGCAGGTGGATCACAAGGTCAGGAGTTTAAGACCATCCTGGCCAAGAAGGTGAAACCCCGTCTCGACTAAAAATGCCACAAATTAGCTGGGCTTGGTGGCACTCGCCTGTATTCCCAGCTACTCAGGAGGCTGAGACAGAGAATTGCCTAAAAACCCAGGAGGTGGAGGTTGCAATGAGCCGGGATTGAGCTGCTGCACTCCAGCCTGGGCAACAGAGTGAGACTCTGTCTCAGAAAAGAAAAGAAAAGATCAGCTGGGTGTGGTGGTACGTGCCTGTTGTCCCAGCTACTTGGGAGGCTGAGGCAGGAGAATCACTTGAACCTGGGAGGCAGAGGTTGCAGTGAGTGGAGATTGTACCACTGCACTTCAGCCTGGCAAGGGAACAAGACTCTGTCTTAAAAAAAAAAGTTAATTTAATTTAATTTTTATTAATTAAATTTTTTAGAGACAGGGTCTCACTTTTTCAGCCAGGCTAGAGTGCAGTGATGAGATCAGAGCTCACTGCTGAACTCAACCTGATCCTCCCGCCTCTGCCTTCCAAGTAGCTGGAACTACAGTTGTGTACTGCTGTGTCTGGCTATTACAAAATAAAAAAATTTGTAGAGATAGGGTCTCACTATGTTGCCCAGGCTGAACAGTTTTTAAAGATGAAAATAGTGGCCAGGTGCAGTGGCTCATGCCGGTAATCCCAGCATTTTGGGAGGCTGAGGCAAGTGGATCATCTGAGGTCGCGAGTTTGAGACCACCCTGGCCAACATGGAGAAACCTTGTCTCTACTAAAAATACAAAAAAAATTAGCCAGAATTGTGGTGGTCACCTGTAATCCCAGCTTCTCGGGAGGCTGAGGCAAGAGAATTGCCTAAACCTGGCAGTTGGAGGTTTCAGTGAGCCAAGATTGCGCCATTACATTCCAGCCTGGGTGACAGAGTGGGACTCCATTTCAAAAACAAAGAAAAGAAAATTGTATATTCTCTATCTAGCAAGGTTAATTAAATGTTAAGCCTGCTTCCTCTAATGCTGGAGGATGTCTTTGTTTAATATCACATTGATTTGGAGATGGCCATATATGTGTATCCTGAAGCTCTTCTTTTTATTTATTTATTTATAATTAAAAAAAAAAATCTTTCTCCACACACTTATTCTCTGAAATCTTTTTAAATCTTTTTTTTTGAGATGGAGTTTTCGCTTTTGTTACCCAGGCTGGAGTGCAATGACGCGATCTCGGCTCGCCGCAACCTCCGCCTCCTGGGTTCAGGCAATTCTCCTGCCTCAGCCTCCCGAGTAGCTGGAACTACAGGCACGCACCACCATGCCCAGTTAATTTTTTGTGTTTTTAGTAGAGACGGGGTTTCACCTTGTTGACCAGGATGGTCTCGATCTCTTGACCTCGTGATCCACCTGCCTCGGCCTCCCAAAGTGCTGGGAGTACAGGTGTGAGCCACTGCACCTGGCCATTTTTTTTTTTTTGAGACAAAGTCTCGCTCTGTCACCCTGGCTGGAATGCAGTGGTGCGATCTCAGCTCCCTGCTGCAACCTCCACTTCAAACAATTCTCCTACTTCAACCTTCCAAGTAGGTGGGACTACAGGCACCTGCCACCACACCCAGCTAATTTTTGTATTTTTAGTAGAGGCAGGGTTTCCCCACGTTGGCCAGGCTGGTCTTGAATTCCTGACCTCAAGTGATCCGCCCACCTTGGCCTGGGATTATATGGGTGAGCTGGGATTATATGGGTGAACTGGGATTATATGGGTGAGCCATTGTGCCCAACCAAGACTGTTCTAAAACTTCAGCTTTTGCCTAGAAGCTCCTATAACCATCTATGCCTCTGGATAATTTGCCCTTTGAAAATTTTTCCATTTTAAAATGCAGTATTTTGGTACTTCAATGTTAGTGATGGTAGATTCTTTTACTCCTTTGGGTGTTCAATAGATGTTAAGTCAAATAGGGAAGCCCCCGGAGGCATATTTGTGAAGGGAGCAGAGCAGATATTGAGTAAGTCCCTCCTGGCTGGTGCTTCCTTTTATGATGCACTTTGAAATGCCACCTGTTCCTGATATATCTCTTCTCTTCCTGACAGGAGTAAGGGGTGGGGAAAATTGGGGCCCTCCCTAGCAATTTCTCTGACTTTCACAGTCATAACTGGTAGCCAGACAGTGATTTTTTTCAATAACCAACTGATGATAAAAGCCTCACCCAGCCACCAAGAAGCATGTAACTGGGCCAAAGGTAAGGGACGGAGCACAGGTTGTTGCAACAGTGACCTGTTAAAAGCACAGTAACCCCATTTCAGCTATAAAGCTGTACCATCTCTACCCACATTTGTTTCCCTATAGACTTTTGAGGCTGAACCCTCTACATATTTTCTAACCTCCTTATAAATTTATTCTCTTATTTCTTTATCCCCTTGTAACTCAATGTTTAATGGGTAAGGATTTTTTTGTTTGTTTTTTGAGAGTGAGTCTCCCTCTTTTTCCCAGGCCAGAGTGCAATGGCATGATCTTGGCTCACTGTAACCTTTGCCTCCCGGGTTCAAGTAATTCTCCTGCATCAGCGTCCTGAGTAGCTAGGACTGCTGATACATACCACCACACCCAGCTAATTTTTGTATTTTTAATAGACATGGGGTTTTGCCTTTTTTGGACAGGCTGGGCCTGAACTCCTCACCTCAAGTGATCCACCCACTTCTGCCTCCCAAAGTGCTGGGATTACAGATGTGAGCCACTACACCTGGACTTAATTTTTGTATTTTTTGGTAAAGATGGGGTTTTATCATGTTGGCCAGGCTGGTCTCAAACTCCTGACCTTAGGTGATCTGCCCGCCTTGACCTCCCAAAGTGCTGCAGTTACAGGCATGAGCCACTGCACCTGGCCTCTGGGTAGGGATTTTGACCCTCCACTTTCAGCTGTGGAAGCCAAGGCTCAAACAGGGTAAACTGATCTGCAGAGGTCATTGGCAAATTGATATTGAAATGTGGATTGTGTGGTATCCTGAAAAAAGACTTGTGATGCTATCAGAGGCTGTCCTGAGGTTGTTTGTTCCAGGCTCCAGGAGACCTGTCTATACCACCTGGTCCAAGCTTAGGTACCTGACCTGTGAATCAGATCATGGCTGGCTCACAGAGTCCTGACAGGCACTGGGAAGGCCCCGGAGCCAGTTGTCCCTGAGGATTCACTTTTCTTCTTTCTCTGCTATGGTAAGCATGCAGACCTGTGATTTTCCAGCCAGGTTCCCTGTGCTTTCTAGGTTCTGTCTTTGCCCTGAGGTGTCTCAGATGT